CTGCTCTGCTACTGCTACTGCTGCTGCTACTACTACGGCTACTGCTGCTACCGCTGCCGCTGCCGCTGCCGCTACGGCTACTGCTACTGCTTACTGCTGCCAATAATCCTGCTGCTCCTGCTGCTGCTACTTTCACTACTATGGTCGATAATGTTTACAACCACGCCTACTACTGCAGGGATTTGTACAACAAATGCCGGTACGACGGCGACGACTACTACCACCACCGCCACCATGGGCCGCTGATGCTGCTGCTTCTGCTGCTGCTGCTGCTGCTGCTGCTGCTGGTACTGCTGCTGCTGTTGCTGCTGCTGCTGTTGCTGCTGCTGCTGTTGCTGCTGTTGCTGTTGCTGCTGCTGCTGTTGATATTTCTTCTGCTACTGCTGCTGTTGCTACTGCTGCTACTGCTGCTGGTTCTGCTGATGCTGCTTGCACATGGCACTGGGGTTACTCCGCTGCTGCTAATTGAGGAGCTGCTATGGTTGCTGCTGCTTCTTTGTTTCTTGTTCTTGGGATGCATCCGATAGACCTTCATCGGACACTTGCTTCTTAAGTCTGCATTGCAACATTGACATCCACCATGTGATCAGATTCCGTGGGGCGTATGGCGCTACAGGATGCATTGCCTCTTGGCTGGCATCGTGAAGAGCACCTCTGTTCTCAAAGGATGACAGTGCCATCGAGACTGGCTCTAGGTGATAGCTCACCCATCGATTCCGGTCCTGCCGCTCGGAGGTGGGCAGCATACTGCCAGACGGACACACCTCCCGTTCCGCCTCGTTTCCGACACTTCGTGGTGAACGGCGCGGGGAGTGCAGGGCATGGTTTGGTGAGAGTAGGCTCCTTATCGCGTCAGTTGACATGTCTGGAAGGGCATTGTTAACCTTGAGTAGACAAGGTCGACCTGAACCTCAGTTGATCGTGAGTTGCTGCTAGTGACAGGCCTTATATAACTCTGGTAAATGAGGTTCTATCGGTGCGACCCGATCCCCTGTTCACAGGCTCCGTCTGCAATGCTCGGCGCTTTCAGGACTCTCCTCGCTCCTCCGTATAGCAACTAGCGGATACACGTTCAAAGCAGTTCCCTCTGTGAAGGCTCCCGTTGTGGAAGAGATCGCAGCAGCTTCTGAAGCACCCGTCGGGATTTCACTGCTAAGAACTGTGCTGATTGCCACTTGCTGCTTCACGACAGTCTTGTTGTTCTACGCCCGACCATGCCCCACCCAAGTTTCCCTCCAGCTTCAGCCGTTTCATAGGAGAAGGGCTTCGACGTGCAGCTGCTGGGATTCGCTCGATGCCAAATGCAGCTCAGCAGAACAGAAAGAAGCAGACATAGAGGAACTCGCACACAGGTAACAGCTGGTAGTCTAAGTCGCCGTGAGACTGCTGTGGTCGCAGATGAGAAGACGGAAGCTTGTGATTGGGTTGCTCTAAGGACGAAGGAGGGGGAGCTCGACGAGGAGATCCCGTCCGGGTAGGGATAACCAGCGTGTCGATGTGGAGGCAATGCTCTACAGTGCTGCGTGTCTGCTAGCATGGCATGCTTTGGCAGGATGCGTAAGTTGAGCTGTGGACCGAATCTTGTTGGCTAAGAACACCTGCGCATCACTTGTTCTCGGAATGACTCCAGCCACTCCCGAAAATATCCGAGGCTTGCATTCGTTCAAGTGTGCAACTTGCAGGACAGTTGCTACTTGGATGGTGTGCGTGAGGGCTACCAGGCCAAAGCCGCAAAATGGATGCACAGATCTTTCTTGCTTTCCTATGCACACAATCCTGCAACTGCTTTTGCCTGAACAGGTCCTCCTGCACTTGCTCAAGATTCTGGAGGACCCAAGTGTTACTTGGTGCTACCCTGAACATCAGGCAAGATTCCTCGTGCTTGCCCCGATGTATTGCAAAGCCATCGACCCACAAGAACAACAGCTTAAGCACAGCCTGGTTGGGGTCCCAAAAGTACAGGAGCAGACTCAGCAGAGCAGCGAGCCTGCCGAGTCCGAGCACATCGAGCCGAAGATCCAAGCAGAGCTGAGCCAGGCTCTATCCGAAGTCGAGACGAATTTTAAGAGACGTCCATGGCTGAAGCTGACAGGGTTTGTGTGAGGCTACGAGGCCAAACATCCGTATTCTGCGACCAGGTGTCGGCTTCTACCCCAGCCACGCTCCAGCAGACAGTGAAGGAGACGAGCCGCTGCCTTGCCGATGCCGCTGATCCATTCTGGCTCTCTGCAGAAACCGTTGGGTCCAGATTGTCTCAGAGCCCAGCAGAAACGTTTGCCAAGTCAATTCCTGCCTTTCAGGAGTCTGCGGAGCAGGAAGAGCTCTTGGAGGGTGGTGCTGAGCCTGAAGGCAGTGAGCTGGAGGATGGCAGTGGCAGTTTGCAGCCGATGGCCGCGACTCCGCCGGCTACGGCTATACCCTGCAGCCGCCTGGCATACAATGTCCAGCAGTGTAGAAGCGGACATCCGCCATTCTCGCTTGTGCACTGGTGTAGCGTGTCTTGTGTGTCTATGTCAGAAATCAGCAGACCGAACTGGTGCGACCTGTCGTTTTTGCTTTGCCAGCTCCTTGTGTCTTCACGGCACCCCCGCATGCTTGGCCCCATCAGTCCAGCGATGAACACCTTGCACTGAAATCATATCATGTCGTGTGATTCAATGCAGCCTGTCTTGCGCTTTGCTTCCCAGCTTCCAAAGCCTTCCTAGTGAGATAAGCCTTCTGTCGCGGCAAGATGCACCAAACCTCAAGCTCCACGAATCCAGGACCGAACTGCCACAAAAAAACAGATCTCCCTAAACCCAAAACCCTCAGCCCTAAGCCCTAGAACAAAAACCCAAACCCTAAGCCCTAAACCCTAAACCCCAAGCCATAAGCCCCCTAGAAAAAAATGAAACCCTAAACCCTAAGCCCTGAAACGAAAACCCTTAACCTCCCAAGCTCTGAAAACGGTGCTCGGCCCGAGGTCGCCCTCTCGCTGTGCGGGGCTTGGCCTTTGATTTCCGGGCTTCCGAGCGTCTGCACATGCCATAAGGGCCTAAATAGCTACCCTTTTCTTTTGGGGTGCCGTATTAGAGCTAACTATTAAGGCGGCTAAATGACGCAGATGTGTGTGTGTGTGTTTTTTGTGTGCGCGCGTGTGCGCGTGCGCATGTGCATGTGTATGTACATGTGCATATGTGTGTGTGTGTGTCTACCTATACATGTGTATGTATGTATGTGTGTGTATATATATATGTATGAAGGTGGAAGTTCCGCAGTCATACCAGCCCGCAGAAGAAGAACGAACTAGACGACAGTGACAGCTCCACCACCACAAAGACAGCAGCGACTGCTGATACCGCCCCCGCTACGACCTACGTCTTCCACGCTAGCAGTTGCTGTTTAATCTAGGATATTCATAGGACAACTACACGCAGGCCTGTTGGTCTGTCCTTCGGCCACAAAATGCGACGACTACTGCAATATTATTTATTTGGTTGGTGTAGTGCATCTTCTATCCCCGGCTGTCGTTGCATATCTTCGGCTCCAGCGCTCACATAGCGATATGAGAAGCTGCAGGTTCATCAGGTTCACCCTTCAAAGCAAGCCGCCATACGGGCACCTTTAATGGCACCAAGCAAGACCTTCAACTCGTGATAATTTCTGCAGGGCCGCCGTGCGACCAGCCTGGAAGATCTGGGTGCTCCGGACTCTCGGGCAGAGGCCGTTTCTCTCGATGCCTCCAAACTTGTTACACGTCGTGCCATTCTGATACCGTGTTGCATCAGCTCGACTAGCGAATCGAGGAAAGCGCAAGTTGATTTGTCAACGCCCTTGGTGTACACCAAGCAATGAGTCCTGCACTGCGACACAAGAAGCAGCCTTCCCTTCCTGAGTCCACCCTAAACCCTAAACCCTAAACCCCGCCCCCTTTTGGATGCAGTTCTGGCAACAGCGGCGGGCGCTGAGCGACGGCGGCACTCCGAGGGCGCCGCCGCCGACGAGCAAGGTTGGGTCAGATCTTTGCCCGGGGTTTAGAGTTTAGGGTTTAGGGTTTAGTTGGATGCTGACATGACATGCTGAACACCAGTGTGAGAAGGCAAGTATGCGCATTGACTCGAACGGATCGAACTGAAGTAGACGTATATGAGACTAAGCAGAGATGTTTCAGTTTCTACATCTTCCCATGATCACACTTTGGGTGGTTTACACACATGCTACTCGACATTGGAGACTACAGGTTTATAGTACATAATATAGACTATATACCATATGTTCTGCATGTTATAGTATATATATGTGTGTGTGTACGTGAAAATATACATACATGTATAAACACATGCCGCAGGCCCCTCCACCGTCGGACAGCGGCCAGGCAGAGCGCCAGGGCCGGGAGGCTGCCGAAACCAGCATGCAAAGTTTAGGATCTCGGAGCATAGTCTCATCCTTCCTCATGTGATCTATTCTTATCTACTCTAATATCATGTAGTCGAATATGGTATAACCTAACATAGTACGAATGAAATACCCGGGGCTTGTTGATTTAGGATGCCAGGGTTTCAAGTTGGGGCCGGAGGGGTCGGGGGGGTTCGGGTTGGCAGGGTTCTGGATTCAGCTTCGGGATCAGTCCTTAAACTTACGGTTCTGGCTTTTAGGGCTTGGGGCTCAGCGATCCGATTTTCGGGATTTGGGATCTTCTGAGATTCGTCGGCCCGAAGCATATTACGGCGACAGCAGCGGTCGCAACCACAAAAGCTCCAACAGCAAGCAGGTGTGGCCAGCAAGCAACTGCAGGGAGGGAAACTGGAATTAGTAAGGTAGCGAAGGCAGCAGAGTAGTAGAAGCATGGGCAGCAAGCGCGTCGAAACAGAAGCAGGATCCGATAAAATGGCAAACATAGTAAGGTCAGCACTAACGGTAGTAGCAGGAGCACAAACCTACCGACACGCACAGAACGAATCCGAATGCTAAGCGAACCGTAGAACTGGCACTCGCCTCAGTCTCCACTGAGGAGGACAAGACAGGGACAATGAGCTAGAACCACTTTGCAGCGATACGAACTGTCGGCATGAAGTGGTTTTTGAAAGTCAGATGTCCCTTATGCACACAGAGTAGGCTGCCCATCCGACTAGCCAGCAGAGACCTGGCTTCCTGACCAGGGCGGCCGCGAAGCCGGCCGCATCTCAATTGCATGTGTCAATGAGTCAAAGCGCTGAGGGTCGAAGGATCTGGCAGTTTTCGGAGCTGAAGAGCCTGTTGAGGACCGTCTGTTGCGATGCTGGCATCCACTTCTGTGGGCAGGCATGGAGCAGGGATGCAGCTGAAGTCCTGCATGGCTCGATGTGATGCCGAAATAGCCTCATGCCGTTATGCCCTATGCACGTGTCAGACGGGAATGGCCTGTATGCTACCCCCCCGTGTAAATCACCCCATACGGCTAGCGACCAATTCGGTCGCCCGGAAGCTTAGCACAGGTCCTTCCCCACTGCGCCGGTTCCACGCCGTGCTTCGACAGAGCCTCTCGCCGTTTGCACGTGGCGTAAGACTGTGCTATCTGTGAAGGTGCGCTCACATGCAGACTTCATCTCTCGAAGCTGTGAGCCGAGGCGCTCGCAGTCAGACTTTGACGCAAATGCCCTGGTGGAAGATTCAGCGGAGGTGGCCGTGGTGCGGTCCGAGGACAGCTTCCACTCATGTCGCCTCACAACACTGATGGACAAACGTGGACCTGCCAGGAGATTCGGCCAGCGGACAGTCCACAAGGACGCCGCCTGACAGTCTGACAGGGATTCCATCATCTGCAGCAGCAGAAGGAATGAAAGTGCCTCTGATGCACAGGCGAGGACGCATGGTTTTCCTGGCTAGGCCGAATCTCTGGTGCTCTCGTCATCTGTTTCTCCCCGACGGCCGTTTTATCACCGCTGCCTGGTGCCAGGTGCTCTCTATGGCTGAGCGCAAAGCATCCTTCGATTTCAGCCTCAGCCAGGAAAACAGCTTCTACACAAGTGTGGGACTTGCTTACATGTGAACTCGAGTGCTAGGTATGGACATGGGCAAGTCCTCAGTCATGCACTTGGCTCTTACCATCTATTGTGACTTGTTACAATGTCCCAGGAGGGATTACAGCTCGCGGTTTCCATGCCAGCGTCGGCACGTGCTGGCGGAACTTTCCATGCGCAATCTCTCTCTTTTTTTGCTCAGACCCATGGACAGTTGAACCCCCCACCCCCCACCCTAGATCTCATGCTAACAGTGCCCCCTCAAGTCCGCATAGACCTGAGGAGAAGACTATGCCCCAAGCCCCAAACCCTAAACCCTAAACCCTACACCCTAAGCCCCAAACCCTATTTCCAACTATTTTAGGCCTTGCTTGAAGGACCGCCTCTTAGACGGCCGACCTGCGGAGCTTACACAACATGAGCCCACGTCTTACTCATGCCGCCCTACATACATGTATGTAAATGAATAAATGAATAAAAATATAAATATGAACATAAATATGAATATAAATATAAATCTAGGTATAAATATAAATATTGATAAATGTGTGTGTGTGTATATATATATAGTTTTTTTCAAGCGAGCCTCTCATCTTGGATGCCTTACACTTCTTCGCTCATTTCCACAACAGCCCCCCGGCACTCGGTCTGATCCTTCTCCAAAAACACATAGGGTGCATCGCATTGAATTCGCGCCATGAAGTCAGAGCCTTTGCTTCCGGTCCTCCAGCCGCCCGGAGAGAGCCTCGGCATCTTGCCGACGGAATGTCGAAGCTTTGCCAGGCGATCCGTGGCTTGGCTGAACCTGTCAGACTTTCAGGGCATGATTGGCACCTGATGATTATTAGTATTGGTGTTAGTATCAGTTTTCAGCACCAGTGCATGTACTGATGGTGCTGCTAACCTACCCAGCACCGGAAACGTGACTCCCTTAAGAAAAGGGTGCTCCTTTCCAGGTGCAAAAATGGTTGATGGTAGGAGTCCAAAGGGCCCGCAACTTAGACATTTTTCCGGTCTTTTGGTTTCGAGGACTGGCTGGCCATCTTCTTGGGACCGGCCATCTCTGTGCCTTTTGCTACCTGCTACGCAGCGTTGGTCTGCAACGACGTTTCCATGCAGGCGAGTTTTCCAGTCGTATTGCAGCAGCTCGGCTTGATCGGCCGAAGAGACCCCTCCGGTACCTGTCTGCCACGAAGTCTTGACCCGAATCAGCAACCCGAAAGGGTAAGGAACGGTAGAAGGCTGGTCAGGGGTGCTTGCTTGCAAGAGTGAAGCTCTAAATGGGTTTCGGTCTCGGTGTCTAAACGTCTCCAAGGCAGGTGATGTGGACACAAATGATCGGAATCTTGGACTACATTCTTTTCGTCATTGTCTTTCCGAGTGCCCAGCCAGAAATACTGTCCAGATTTGGCGAGGAATGAACGGCGTTCGATGCGAACCGCAGTGAGACTAGCAGTGCAACTGATTGGCCAAGGATCCATCATTGCACTCGTCATTGGACAGTTCGTGACCACAACGAACTTGGATCCACTGACTGCCATCCTGTTTGGCCAGTTGGCCCGAAAGGTGCTATCCTCAGCATTGAGCATTGGGATGATATGGTTGAGGGCGCCGTGCTTCGCTGGCAGCAATATGCACGCGCCCGCTGCAGTATGTGAGCTTCTTTCCGGAAAGCCGTTGCTTGCAGATGTTCTTGATGAGGGCTGAAGTTAACATCCTATGCAGCTTTAGATGATGTGGAAAGACCTCTGGGACCCTAAAGTTCCCGCCTACTCAGACACAGCCCAAAGTCAAGAATCTAAGAAGCGGCATTGGAGTGGCATGTCGGAGTTTTGCAGTATCAGAGAAAGCAGCCCATGTGACCATGTGCTCTTCCATGGGTCTTGGCACAGGTGGCCCGTTTCAAAACCGGAGAGGGAAGCCAGGACCCGCAAATTTGCAAGTCAGTGGAGCAAGCAGGAGCGGGGAGTGCTATGTGTAGCAGGAGATGATCCTCTGCAGCATGATGCTCCTTATGCCGGTGATCTCATTTTGCCTGGGCATCGTCTTGTACTTTGTGGGCAAGCTGAAGCTCGCGCGTGCCCCAAAGCTTAGCTGTAATCCATGAGGACGGTGGCAATTCTTGACCTGTGCTTCAGCCTCCAAAGAGGTTACTTTGCTTACTACTATTATTACTACTATTACTACTATTACTATTATTACTATTATTACTATTATTGCTATTATTACTATTATTACTATTATTACTATTATTACTACTATTATTAGTATTATTTGCTTCAGTTTCTGAGGCCATGATGCTTCGCTTCATCCCCTACACAGTGGTCGGCGGGTTCTTGGCCGGCAGCGGCATCTTGATTCTACAGGAGCGTGGATACTCTTCCCCTCCTGCCAGCGCCTCCCCAATCTTCTGAGGCGACTAGAGCCTTGTTGTGCTTCCAGCCATACAGAGGGTTTAGGGCTTAGGGTTTAGGACATCAACCCATCACTTAATCCCTTCAGCCTCCGCAGAAACCTAAGCCCAAGAATCCGCAGACACGAGGAGTCACTGGCTCTGGCCGGCGGTGAGGACCTAGGTGCACCTTGGACGCGAGCGGGGAGGGTTAGGGTTTAGGGGTTTAGGGGTTTAGGGGTCTAGGGTTTAGGGTTTAGGGTTATTAGATTCTGAGCATCTTTGAGCGCTTTCTGGTTTGGCTCCAACCTTGCGAGCCACAGTTGAGACCCCAAGCACAAGGACAGGCTCTTGTGTAGGACTCGTGATGGATGCAGCACACTCGAAGCATAAGCGACATGAAAAGTACGGAAGCCCAAGCCCTGAAGCCCTCCCCCACAACCCCATACTATATGATACTTTATTATGTTTTTTTTTAATGTTGTATAATACCATATTATATTATGTACTACTATATTATCTTCTTTAAATCCGAAGTTGCAGCCTCAAGCGCCCAGGCCCTGATCCGCCATTCCTTCGTCAGCCCGAGCGAGGTAGCAGGGCCATGGGCCCAGCAGCTGGGACACCCATAGTGTGCTATACTACACTCTACTATACTGCACTATATGATGTGACATTATACTATTTTGTACTATTTGATACTTTGTCATACTACGTTATACAATAAGTTTTGGGGTTTCATCGTAGTAAGATGGGCTATGGTGTGGGATTTAGGCGATTCCATCCACTGCTCTTGACCCAAGGATCGCCCTTTCCATCGCTTTTTCTTCAGTCCTGGAGCATGTGACCCGGCAGCCAGAACCGAGATATATATTTGCCTGGCTCAGAGTGCCCGGAGGCCCGGGATAGAAAAAGTCGTACCACGGCACACACACACACCAACGCTACAAGCGCAACGAGAGTGCGAGAGAGTTTCAGAGAAGAAAGAGAGATGGATAAATTGACAGCTACGCATACATGTACAATATACGTGCATGAATGCATGCAGGTAGGTAGATCGGCAGGTGGGTAAGTAGGTTGTTGTGCCGCTGCTTGCTGCAGTATGCCAGACGCTTTCTCCAAGGTAAGGGAATGGCATATCTTCAGTACTCCTCTGGTCATCGCCACAGCGGTGGGCTTGAGTGTCTTGGTCCAGCACACTTCCGGGGGCGCGTGGCCACCCAGGCAGGTTCTTGGGATGCGGCGAAAGCAACGCCCGGATCTCCTGTTGGAGTTCTCCCCAAACCCTAAAACCCTAAAAATCTAAAGCCCTAAAGCCCTAAACGCCTAAAACCCTAAACCCTAAACCCCTAAACCCCTAAACCCCTAAACCCCTAAACCCTAAACCCCTAAACCCCTAAAACCCTAAAACCCTAAAATCCTAAAATCCTAAAGCCCTAAAACCCCTAAACCCCTAAAACCCTAAAACCCTGAAATCCTAAAATCCTAAAGCCCTAAAACCCCTAAAGCCCTAAAAGCCCTAAAAGCCCTAAAAGCCCCAAAGAGCCCTAAAGCTGGAGCAGGTCCTGGTTCTTGGAGTTCCCGGATCCTGTGCGATGGCCGCGGTCTCAGACTCCGCGAGCAGCTGACATCCGAGCTTACCTGGACCCCCCCCCAACTACCCTCGATTCATAGGTTTAGGGTTTAGGGTTTAGGGTTTAGGGTCCTAGACCCCCCCAACTACCCCCTATCATAGGTTAGGGTTTAGGGTTTGGGGTCCCGAATACCCAAAGTTAAGTTTAAGTGTGTTTTAGGGGTTTAGGGTTTACCTGGCCTTGCCTTCCTAGCTTCGCCATTTAAGGGGGGTGTCCGAAAATAGGGGACCCTAATATAGCACCTAAATAGTAGGATCCTCATTAGAAGGACCCCCACAACAAGGTACCCCTTATTTTCGGGAAAGTCGCCAGGTAGTAGCCTGTTGCAGATTGCGTGCAAACCACTTCCTGCCCCTTGCCAAGGTGGGAGCCTTTCGACTCTCGGCTGAACAAAGTTTGTCCATTGCTTTCCTGCAAGAAGCAGTTTAGGGTTTAGGATTTAGGGTTTAGGGTTTAGGGTCTCTAGAAGGGGGAACTCCGGTGGGCCTCCTCGGCTTTTCATGACAGCGCAGCGGAGCTCCAGCCTGGGTTCAGGGTGGCCGGAAGTGGTGGAGCTACACCTTTGTGATATCTTGATGCCTAGTTGTGGCAACAGCGGCACCAGCAAGGTTGAATGAGCGTCCCCAAGTCCTCTTGCTAATCAGCGAGATCCGGGACATCCCAGAAGCATATCTCGAAGCTCCAAGCTCAACTCCACAGGTCCACGAGCATGAGAGTGTTAACGCTGACAAAGCTGATTGACCGGTAACGATGCTTGTATCTGCGCTACTTTGACTGAGCACCTTACATGTAACAACGACACTTCCATGAACCGGAAGATACTCGGAGGACAGACGTCGAACGCCCTACTTGTAGGAGCGTCTGCGGGGCGTGCCTTCCCTAAACCCTAAGCCCAAAAACCCTAAACCCTAAACCCTAAGCTCTAGGACCCTAAACCCTAAACCCTAAACCCTAAGCCCAAAGCTCCAGGAGCGTCTGCGGGATGGCTTCCACCAGAGCTATTCAGCCTCGGGGCT